CATCATCATCATCATCATTATTATTACTACTACTACTACTACTACTACTACTATTATTATGATTATTATTATTATCATTATTATTATTATTAGCATAACTATCATCATTATTATCATTACTACTATCAATAATAATAGCATTATAATACCATAACCTTTTGCAATACAACTTACAAATCCATCGAACTGAAACCAGAATATAAAAAGTTAATTAGCAAGCTTATAAAGGAAAAAAAAAAGGCGAAAAAGAACATTTTAATCCACGAACGGCAGAAGGAAAGTATGCTTGTGCCTGTTTGTCTCTCAGCCTAATCTTATCTAATCTAATCTGATCTGATCTGAGATACGGATCATAGACTGGTATCGGCTTCTTGTGCATGTCCGGAGATGGCGCCTCTCTCGGCCTCGAGCGATGGGACTTTGAAGGTTGAAGGTCGACCTCCACTGATATTGGAGGGGGAGGTTTTTTTGTGTGTTAGGATAATTATGATAGTAATAATAATGATGATGGTGATAATAAGTAATAATAATGATAACAATAATATTAATGATAACAGTAATAATAATGATAGTGATAATAATAAGGATAATGATGGTGATAATGACAATGATAATAGTAAGTTATAATATTGATAACAACAAAGATGATAATAATGATGATAATAGTCAAGAATTCATACTTTCAGATTTTATTACAAAAATGAAAATATCATTTAACAATGTTAGCGCTCAAGTCTCTAATTATACAGTATATTAGACACTTAGCAAACAACCTCAAATGAACAAACATGTTGATCCAATTCACAAAAAGTAAATGAGAACAGAAATAACGACGATGCCAGTGGATAAAAAAACTAACCCACGGACAACGCCGTTCTAGCAGTCCGTTCGCCAAGATGGCCAAGGAAAGAGCATCGACTTGCGCATCGAGGGCGGGATATCCTCTCTCTTTCCGCGAATTGTAATCTTCAAGATCGGAAACTTAGGATCTTCTGTCTGTGATGCTTTTCTTTACTGTTTGTTTCTCTCTTTCTTTCTTTCTTTATTTTTTTTACTTTTATTATTTTTTTTTTTATCTTACCTTTTGTGTGTGTGAGTGTGTGTGTGTGCGCGTACATGCGTCCGTACGTCCTTGAGTGCGTGTATGTCTGTGCACGCATGTACGCATACGCACATCCCAACGTCCACCCATCTCAGCAGCGCCCCCACTCACCCCACCCCCTCCCTTTCAGACGTCTACAACGAGATCGAGGTGACCAACGCCACGACGCCCTCCCCCGCGCCCTCCCCCCCCGGGCCCCCGACCAACGCCACGTCCACCGAGAGGACCACCAAGAGGACGAGGAAGAGGAGGAAGAGGAAGCGCAGGAAGGAGAAGGGCAAGGGAGGACGGCACAGCGGCAGGAGACACAAGTCCAGGAGACACCAGCAGCGAGGGCGGCACCGGAGGGGAAGGGCGAGAGAGCGGAGACGGAAAAAAGAGGAGGAGGCGAAGGAGGGACTAAGGACGACGATGGCGAACGCGACCGAAGCGCCGGCGAGTCAGTGAGCGAAGCGCGCGTGGGTCGTCCGCTTCTTCGAGAGGTTCTTCGTCTGTCTCGCCCGCTTGTGAGAAGAGGGGTTCTCTTTAATCTCGCTTCAGACAGTGCTCGTGAGGCAAAGGTACTCGAGAAAAAAAGGTATCTAAACTTTATCCCGTTCAGTCGGTGCTCGTGATGAAAAGAAAAAGAAAAGTGAACGAGAGAAGGTACCAATCTTATCTCGTTCAGTTAGTGCTCGTGAGAACAAAAAAAGGTACCCGAAAAAACACCTTTATCTCTTTTCAGCCAGCACTCACGAGAAATGTATCCCTTAGAGAAAGTACCTATTTCATCTCGCCCACTTGGTACGCGTTACCAGTCAACACGACACGGACGTCTCTCCTCAATACCTAGGTGCTGGTAACAGGTGTTCTGCCTTTGCGCTAACGGTGATGTGCAAAACGAGTGCTCTCTTTACATACGACGTGCGTTAATTGCCTCCAGGCTAACCCGACGTCCTGACTGGCTGCAGTAAACGAGGCAGATTCGTGGCTTCTAACCGGAGTGCCGAGGAAATGTGTTCGTGGGAAATCAACATAAAGGAAACTTTGACAAACAGAAAAAAAACGCTTGATATTTTTCCTCTGAGAACTTACAGAAAACCACGACAAAAAATAAAGGAAAAAATCTTAGATAACGGAAAAAATAGTAAGAAATAAAACAAGAACATTGATAGTCCTCCACTAAAAATAAAAAATAAAAATCTTAGAAGTCACACACTTACCTTGCCTGCTCTCGCCAACTCTCTCCCTCTGTGTCGCGTGCACCACAAAGCTCTCGCTAATTTATTACATCACAACGTTCCTAAGTGTTTGGTAAGATTAACCCCTTTGTAACTGCTCTCTTCCCCTCTCTTTCTCTCTCTTTCTTATGTCTTCTCTCTCTCTCTTCTCTTTCTTACTCTCTCTCTCTCTTTCTCT